ATTTTGTAATATTTCAAATTATTTCTCAATTAAAATAATATGAAGAAAAAATTAATAATGAAAGCATGTTAGAGACAATATTCTCTAACTCAAATTTGCTTTTACGATAACAATATCAAGAACATGGTTTTGAAAATATTCAAATAATATCATATAGTTTTTTTGTTAAATAGAACAACGAACTTTTAGTGAAAATTATCAATCACAACCTCCTAGTTTAGCCTCATTTTTTTATAGTAAATGCAATATCATATGGTAATTATGGACAAGGTTGTCACTATGGTCATAGGATGTGGTTAAATCTTAAATTAAGGTTATGGTCATAATTATAGTAATATTTTATATTCTGGTAGTTATAACCTTAAGAAATATGTAATTAATGAATAAAATAATATAAAAAATTTAGATTTACAAAAAGGACATACAAAAGATATTAAAAGTTTATTATAAATGTGACATGAAGAAAGATTGGTCACATATAGCTAAGTACTTAATTGATTTTTACCAAGTCTTAATAAAAAGAGAAAAGGTCTAGAATTAAATTTTATTGAACACAATAGCATGAACCAATATACGAGCCTTGATGTTTAAGATTGAGACTGCTAGAGAAAGGAATGATGGCGCTTTTGATGGAGATGTGTATTAGTGTATTTTTTTACTTATTATGTCCTATAGTTTTAATTGTTTCTCTTTTAAATAATTATTTACTTTTTACTATGTTATATTTCAATGTGTTTCCTTTTATATTTAATAAAATAATATATCATCTTATTAAACATATATTGTTCTTTATAATCCTTAAGGCTCTGTTTTGTATGGCTGTAATATTTAATTTTTAGTTTTAAATTTTTATTATTAAATTTAAACAATTAAAATTAATAATTACAAACTAAAATAAAAAAAATCAATTTATTAAGAATAAAATTTTAAAATAAATATCTAAAATTTTAAATTAATTAATTTATAAATTTTTTTTTAATTTTATTCTAAAATATCTAAATTTTTAAAAACTAAAACTAAAACTTATATCGATAACCATAATAAATGAGCATTAAATATTTGTCTTTTTATTTTTTAAAATAAATAAATATTTCTTTTATACTTTAACATGTATTATCAATCAATTTTCATTATCAATTTATTTTAATTGCATCGAGCCTTTCGAGTTGAGTGGCGATAGCCACCCACGGGCATTTCCCCTCCCAGGGTTGAGATTCGAACCCAGTCCCTTGTAAAATCAGTAAAAAAAAATTTATTTTAATTAATCATTTAATCATAAAAGTGTATATCTTATTTATTTATTTTTTTTTAATTTATAATATAAGTTAACACATAAATTATCCTAATTTTTATTTTTATCTTAAATTATATAGTAAAAAATAGCTCTCACTTGTCATTTAACCCATGTTACTGTATCCTGTGAGAGTTAAATTGAGATTCTCGTAGCTACTGCAAGCAAATTATCTTTGAACTGCTTACTTAGGTGACAATTACCAAATTCTTATCTGCGTACCAGGTCAAAAATTCTAGTTATTATCTAATAAATCGAAAAATAAACCTAGCTGGCCGCCGGCGGATTTCGTGGTCCACTTCCCGTCTTCGGAAGTCGTTTCATTCGATAGTTGCAGATAGAGAATTCTAATTTTGGTGGTTTCTTGGTACAAGAATGGGACATAGTTCGAAGAAAAAGAAGAAGAAAGGAGGAGGGAGGAGCAAGGGAAGAGCTTCATCGAAAGATCATGCTTCTTTGGATGGAGGTGACAATGAGCTTCTCTCCGAGGAAATAACTGCCCTGTAAGTCAAATTCTTGAGTCCCTAACGTTTGTATTTTCTTCTATTACTATTGTTGATTTCAACCAGATTTTTCATAGTGATTTTGTCTCCGAAATCGGTTGTTTAAAATACTTTTTGGCCACTTATGTTGTGATATATATGTTTCAGTTAATTTTTTTTTTCGTTTGTATATCAAGATGATATTTGTAGTTCTATCTGCATTTGGAGTATTGCTTTCTGGAAATGCATTAAGTTCATTGAATTGTCATTTAACATATTCAATTCTGTTTGGAAAAGTGTTCTGGAGTAATCTGCATTTGGGGTATTACTCATAATTTGCATTCTAGGAGTTTAAAAAAGTGTTCCGTGTGTAAGATTGTTTTTTTTTTTTTTTTAATGCTATATTTCTTGCATAGGTTAGATAATTTCTATGAATATTCAGTAGTTCCTATTGAAGGACCTTTTATTTCCAATGATGTTGTGTCATGTTTTGTTGTGATTTTCACAATTTTTTTTTAAATTTTTTTTAAAAAATTACTGTACTTGGATATTGCAAAGTTTTGAACAGCTGACATAATGAGATTGATCTGTAGAATCAAGATTTATTTATTTATGTATTTATCATTTTATTGTTTTTAAAGTAAGTGGGTACCAACTCGGCCAAGATCTTGTTCATGTATTTTTTGGATTCATAGATGTGCGATATTTCAAGAAGATTGCAGTGTTGTGTCTGGGCCATCTTCTCAAATTATTATTAAGCTCAGGTATTTGTTTCTTTTGATTTTGTATCAAAACTGTTAAACAGATCTCCACTTTCTGAGTTTTGCTAAAAGTGAAATCTGATAGGCCTTACTCAAAGGATATGGGTTATGAGGACCTTGATGTCTCTGCTCTTCTAATAGTTAGGTAAGTTGGATTATACATAAATTTTGTCCTACATATCTTCATCAAACAATGTAGTCCTTTCATTACTTTTCTGTTGCATGTTTATTAGGTGCTTACCTGGATATCCTTACAAGTGCCCTAAGTTGCAGATTACTGCAGAGGAAGGTCTGTCTAAAAGCGATGCTGAGAATCTTCTATCTTTGCTTAATGACCAGGTGTGATTGCCAAGTGGCTCATTTACTTTTGTGCCCCTTTTTTCAAATTTCTTTCGGTTGAAATAATCTGTTTATTGATAATTTGTCCAATATAAAGGAAAGTTATTGATAAGATGTAATAGTGAATGGAAGCACACTAATTGTTCCACACTAGAAGCATGAATTCAATATCTATATAATTCTTTCAGAAGATTTTTGTCACAGAAGCAAATGCTGAAAATATCTTTTCCTTTAACTGTTTTACGATGTTTGCTAGCATTTGCTTCTTTGATTTAAATTTTTGTCTTGTTTCAGGCAAATTCCAATGCTCGAGAAGGACGGGTAATGATTTTCAATTTGGTGGAGGCTGCACAAGAATTCCTATCTGAAATTGTTCCAGTAGGTCAATCACGTCAATCAGTAAGCTTCCCTCTCAATCTGTCATTATAATGTTTCACCATTTTCTTCTTGTAAATTCATATATATTGATCCTAAGCATTTGTTTCCTTGCTCAAATTCTACTCCTTGCTTGCTGAGTTATGTTTTCTACTTAGCATCAGTTTGTCTCTTACTCTAACCTATTATTATATGCCATGTGAGTGCCTTTATGGTTGATAAGTTAACTTTTAACCATATATTGTATATTCATTCTGCATATATTCTGAATTTCCCTAATTGGGTTGAAAGCAACAGTGGTCCTTGTACTTTTGTTTTTCTCTTACTTTTTTTCATGAAATCATTTTTAGGTCATTTTAGTCTTTGAACTTCACTTCCATAGGCCACGTCCTAGGATGGAAATACCTGATCAAACCATGGTGCATGTGCATGCCCCAATCTGCCTCCAATGTTTTTGTTCCCCTCCTTCCCCCATCTTTATTAAATGAATAGGGGATGTGGTTGGGTGGGATGAATTTTTTGGGTTGAAAGGCAGGGGTAGGGTGGCTGTGGTATTTGGTCTACCCTGCCCATCTTGATTTTTAATTTTAAAATTTAAAATATATTTAAATATAATTTACATATGCACCAATTTGCCTCCAATGGGTATTTCTTTTTTAAATGAATAGGGTGGGATGGAATTTTTGGGTTGAGAGGAGTGGAAGGGCAGGTTGCAGGTTGCAGGTATTTGTTCTGCCCCAACCATCTCAATTTTTAAATTAAAAATTATTTAAAATAGTTTAAATTTAGGGAAAAAGTAAAATCAGGACATGCTAATATTAAAAATGTAAGGACGTCTAATAATAGTCAAATGATGAATTTGATAAAGTTAGGGCCCACACTATACCCCACACATTTAAGGGTTGTGATTGGACGTCCTAACATTTTTAATGTCAGGATGTCTTGATTTTCCCTTTTCTCTTAAATTTAATATGCTAGAGATTTTTTTTTTTTAATTTCATTTTTCAATTAATAATGAAATTGTATAGTCTTTAAATTTTTTTATTAAACTTATTATGTTTGTTACTTTTTATATGATAGTTTGTAATAATTAGTACTAAATTAAAATTGATATTTAAAATATTTGTTTGTTTATTTTGTAGAGGGGGGGGGATATTGAACATTTTTTAGCAGGTTAGAGAAGTTCATTCCTTTCTTGCCCTTGTCACAGCCTCACTCCACCCTATTGGTGTCCCTATCCACATAAGATAGTGGACAAGTTGCTAACACAACATTTTTTATCTGTTAAGATGTTGACGTGGCTAAATGTGGGCAAACAAACATTTTTTCCTACCTTCTTTCATCATCATTTTCATAAAAATTTCAAAATATTTTGAAAACAAAATCTAAGGTGCTCTGGTGGTCATATCATCTTTATTTTGAGACAACAGGAGCAACTCCTAATTGGAGTGGGCTAGGTTAGGCATAGTTAGGCTGGTACATTTGTTGTGGCAATGATAGGCTTTACCAAGTAAGCCCTTTCACAAATTTTTTTAAAGATATGTGCATTTATTACTTGTTTTATAAACATGTTTTCTTCAACCTTTGATTTTCTTGTGAGCAATTGTAAAAGGAAAATAAAAAACCAAACTTGCATAATATGAAGTTGTCTTCTGGTTTTCTAAACATTCTTTTTAAATTTTGCAAATGTTGTTAAAAATGAGTGCTTTTAAAACATGAATAATATTTCTTTTCCCTTTAATTTATTAATAAATTTTCCCCCTTTTTTTTTTCCCTTTCTTTTTGAAGATGTTATGCTCAACTACGAGCAGCAGTAGCCAGTTGCCTGAGAAGGATATTGCAATTTCAAGTAACAAGAGTTGCTCTTTGGGCAGTCCTTTCATTTATGGCTTCATTGATCTATTTAGTGGATTTGGAGAATCATGGCACTGGACTCTGGAAATGGATGATAAGAGGAGAATGGTGTCTTCAGTTGAATCCCATGCATTACATGGTTCAAAACCTGGATATAATGTTCTGGAAAGTGAACTAGAAAGGAATCCCGAACCATTGACAATGGATAAAATTCAAGTACCATCACCTTCACCTGTTGTCAAATTGGATTCCCTCAAGGAAGAGAGTGACAATGACAAGAGCATTTCAACTTCTGACTCAAGCAGTTCTTCGATGGAAGACATGATCAAAAACGGTATGGTTGGGGAGAAGGAGGTTAGTCATGTTGTCTTAGTGCTCATAATCTGTTAAACATCAGATAAATATTTATTTCCCCATTTATATGATCCACTATGGAAAAGGTTTGATAGATATTTTTGGCATTTAGCTTTTTAATTTCTCATAAACGTTTTTGGAGCTTGTAAATCTAGCTACAAGGTCAAAGAAGGTTCCAACGTTAATTTTTCTCATATTCCCTCTCCCATGTTTTGCTTAGAAGACTGGACTTTTGAATTTATTCACTACGTCATGGATGTTCCAAAAGTAAAGAAACTCTTAAAGTTTAAATCTGAAGAAATTCTAGAACTTATAGTAGGGTTAGATGATGGAATCATGGAAGCAAAAATCAATGTTTTGCTCAAACTGTAATTTGTAAATACTCTGAGCTCCTTTCTATGGATACTGTAAAGGCAGTCCACTGCCCCCATTGAACTTCCTTGATCCCTAGATATTATTAAATCTCACATGAGGTTTTTGCCTGGAGTGGGAGTAAAAGAATAATTCATCAAAAAATAATAATAATAATAATAATGATAATAAGGGAGGAGGAAGATGGACATAAATTGATTTAGCAATTGTGAAACTGATTGACTTTTGTCTAAGTTCTTAAAATCTATCTTAAGAAAAATTTTGAATAGACGAGGTGAATGATTGACAAGTTTACTAGAGGTTCTATGTAACTTATATTCTTATTTTATTTTGCTTAGAAAAAAAAAAATTCTAGATATTATATCATTTCCATGGTTTACTTGTGGGCCAAATTTATGTTGTTAAAATGGCAAAAGTAATTACATGCTTCACAGAATTTTCCTCTTGAGGATCATAGCAAAGAGGATCATGATGAGGATCTTGAAGGTGAGCCTTGGGAGACATTGTCCTCTTCCTCCTTAAGTCATGATCAAGCATCAGAAACCATTGAAAAAGATTTAATGATGGTAAGTCCATTCATTTTTCCCATTTTTTAAAATGCTGAACCCAATTCATTTTATGGGTTGGCTATTATTGTTTTTTCTCAATAATTATGTTAACCTATTTGTTTCAAAAATAAGGTTCATTTGCTTCGCCTTGCTTGTGCTTCTAAAGGACCATTAAGTGATAATCTGCAACAAATTATCAGTGAGCTGTCCGGTATAGGGGTATGTTCTTAATGCCATTTTGGACAGGAAAAATAATGGCAATTAAGTCTCACTGTTAAATTTTTGGAACTTCTCTTTCTACCTTTACTGAATGGGAATTCTCTCTTTATTTGGTTCAGATCTTTCCAGAGTGGGTGCAAGATTTAGCTTCTAAACCATCTTCAGTCTTCAATAAAACCTTTGATCATGTTTTCCATCAATATACAGTGAGCCTCTTATGCTTCTTTTTTTTTTTTCTTTTCTTCCATTTTAACTTCCAAAATGCAGCTTCAAAATTGATTGATGTTATTACTTGTTTTGTTAATTTTTTCCAGATTTCATCCAAAGTATCTCAGTTTTGGAAGCCTGTTACTGCTTTAGAAGGGCCAAGTGCATCTCTACCAAGCTCTCGCTATCTCAATGACTTTGAGGAGCTAAAATCCCTTGGTATCACTTTTCTTGCATGCACACACCCACCGTCACAGACAAGCACATGTGGGCATGAGACCTGCACATTCTTGCACACTTTACCTGAGAGAAACCTGCATCATACATGTAGGAGATCTTTAAGGGACATTATGGTATTGGACATATTTGAAAAAGTTGTCTGTTATGGAAAGGAAAAATTATGGTTTTATTTTATCTTAAAAAAATTCTATGGTTTTCAGAGGACAAATGGATCAGAAAAATTATTCTGTTAGGAACTGATTTGGGGAAGGTTTTCATTGGTTTAGGACTTTAGGTATAGGAAATAAAGCTTATGTTATGTTTAGAATAAGGGTTTTAATTGCGGACATTGAATAAGGAAGAAGGATCAGAAAGTCTTTGGGCTCACACCCATGGTTAACCATTTCACTTGGTCACCCAGGTAGAATTGCTGAAATAAGTTAGCCTTTGGCAATGAGTAGTGGGATCGTATTTTGAGTTAAAAATGTTATTTGCATGCAATTTTTATTGCCATTTATTGGCTACATTGCCACAAACCTGACTTTTATTTATTTATTTATTTTTTATCAGCACCTGACTTTTGAATTCTATTGTGTAAGTCTTTTTTTCCCTTTTAACTTAAACCTCATGATGATAACAGGCCATGGTGGTTTTGGCCATGTTGTATTGTGCAAAAATAAGCTAGATGGAAGACAGTATGCAGTGAAGAAAATTCGCCTCAAGGACGAAAGCTTGCCGATTAATGACAGAATATTGAGGTGAATTAATTTCTTTTAATCAAAATCTAAAGATAAATTCGTTTTTAGCAATAATGGATTGTTTAGTAATTGGTTACTGTTATTTGATCAGTTTGTTCCTTTTCAATGATTTTTGAGTCATGGTGATCTTGTCCTGATTATCTAAGTTCAGTGGAATTGCATGGTATTCTTTAAAGAAGAAATCAATGTTGAAGTTATAAACATAAGAAAAAATCAATGTCATTTAATGCCAAAAATACCTTTAGAAAGTTAGAAACGTAATGAATTGAAAGCTTATTATTCCATCATAATGCTAAGGCCTATCAGCATAATTTTTTAAGAACTGACAAGCAAATTAGATAATTGTTGTGAATCAAATTAATTAATTGAAAACTTAATTATAGCTAAAAAAGATCTGAAAATTAAACTAAAAATGTTGAAGTAATCTACCTCGGGTTGAAAGATGTTGTAGCAGGCCTTTTTCTCCCAACTATGTGTGAAATCTTGTGTATTTGATAACATTTTTGTTCTCAATCTCAAGGTTATCTAAATGTGAACAAAATTGCCCAAAAATGAAAAGAGACTAGATTGAGACTAAGTAGTCTTAAATTACTAACTTTTAGGATGGTAATTGAATCACCACCATCCATGGTGATTTTTTTACTCCCTGTAACCTAAGATTAGTGTGTTGTAGGATAACCAGGTGATGGAAAATGTGGCAGTCTTGTCATCATCTTACTAGTTACTATCATCATCATGATTGACAAAATCACCACATAAAAATCATTCCCCAAAAGCATGTTTAATTTTTTATTTTATCCAATTCCTCAATAATTACCTTTTAATTGTCTTATCATTAAGGTTGATTCTAGTGGATGACAAAAAAATTTGGGGACGTTGGGAAATGAGGAGTGGTGGGTTGATAGGGAAAATGGGAGTTTTTGGTTGGCATGAAAGACAAAAAGGAAAAGATGGAGGAGGGAGAAGGAAAAGAGGGGAAGAATAAGAACATTTGAGAAATGAAGCCAGTGGTGGTGGGGAGGCTGACGGACTTTTCAAGAGAGGTGGATATTTTGAGGAAGAAGTGTGGCTGCTACATAGGAACAATTAGAAACTAGTCTACAATCAAATAGCTAGTCTATCAACAAGAAGAAACTCTACTTTACAAAACTTTCTAGACCCTAGTGTAAAGCTATCTGTAGAGAGAGGGGAGAAGAGTGTGGCTTAGCAAAGCCTAAGATTCTATCTCAAACATCTCTTTGAACATTTGTGACAATCACACATTCTGGTTGGAAAAGCTGTTGGTGAATCCTGCAATTCCTCTCCATTGACAAGTGATATATTGCAGCATTCCTTGCAAGTTTAATCAAAGTTGTATGTAGTGACCTGTTAGCTATTTTCTTTCCCGTCCAAATTAACAAACTAGAGTATGAATCAAAGATGGGAATACCGGCCATATTTTACAGATTTTACCAAACCTGTACTGAGAATTTCCACTTAAAAAATAGGTGCTCAAATGGTTTAGAAGCTACACCACATAAAGAACAAGTGTCAATTATACTTGCTGTCCATTGCTTTTGTCTTGCTTTGGTTGTTAACCTGTCCAATATAGCCAACCAGCAAACGAAGCTATGTTTGGGAATAGAACTAGAGAACCAAATTAGCTTTGACCATGGAACTTTGATGTGCTTCTCTCGTAGCCCGTTCCAAGTCTTCCCTGCTTGAAAATTACCAGAAGTTGAGGGTAACCAAACCACAGCATCCCTTATTCCCTCCTGAGGATATAGGTTGTCGAACAAAGCATCTTGTATCTGAACTAATTGCAGTGAGCAAGCAGGCAGCCAGTTCTAGTAATTTCCTTGAACAACTACAGCAAGCTTTGCTTGAAAAGGTATTGCAGCATCATACACTATTCTAGCCCCATAAGCCTCAATCAATGGCCCAAAATCATGCCAGATAAAAATATCCTTGCCATCACCTGGAATATGTTTTATGCCTTCTGCCTTAGCTTAAGGATTTTCCTTGACCTCCAAGAGGCATACCTAGGAATTTTGACAGTCCAAAAATCACAACCTCTCAATAGCTGCTCATGCACCCAAGCTACCCATATATATATCCTACACCAGAGAACAACATCCAAATATGCCTCATTATGCAAGCAATATTCCACAGCTCAAGGCCTTTAAGACCTAGACCACCCTCCTGCCTAGGGGTGCAGACAGATTGCCACTTCACCTTTGCACCCTTAGCAGTCTCAACTGAGTTGTTCCAGAGGAAGGCACTACACCTCTGCTCAACTTCCTTAATTACTTTCTTAGGAATAATGAAGACGGATGACCAGAAATTAATGATTCCCTGGATGACAGAGGAGATTAATTGCAGCCTACTTGTAAAAAGAAAGATGCTTAGCAGCCCAAGAGGTCATCCAATCGATGATCTTGGCTATAAGCGGCTTAAGCTCCTTTCCAGATGGCTTCCCAATAATTAGAGGATGCCCAAGTTTGTCACTGAGAGCTTACCAATTTTAAAACCATATTTTCCAGATAGAAAGTTAACTGTAGCTGCAGGGAGTGCACAACAAAATTTATCAGAGTTGCTGTAATTTACTCTCAAATTGGAGAAGGAATAGAAATCTTGCCACACCTTGTCAATAGCAGATAAAGAAGAAGCACTTCCATTAGTAAAAATGATCAAGTCATCAGCAAAACACAAGTGGGTAAGCTGTGTTTAAGCACAATTGGGGTGGAAAGCTATCTGCCCTTCGGAAGCTGCCTTATTCAGCATTCTAGAAAGAATTTCCATGCATCTGACAAAGATTTAATGAGACAAGGGATCACCTTGCCTAACACCTCTCTTCCCTGGAAAATAGCCTATTAGATTCCCATTAAAAGAGATTGAAAACATTGCTGAAGTGATGCATGCCCTTATCCAATTCACAAACTACAAGGGAAATCCAAGGCAATTAAAACTTGGAAGATAAAGTTCCAACAAACAGAGTCAAAAGCCTTCATGATATCAATCTTTAGTGCACACCTAAGGCCCAGACTCTCTTTGATAGTGTTTAACTAATTCATGTACCAAAAGAATATTCTCAACCGTTAATCTCCCCTCGATGAAAGCACACTGATTTCTACTAACAAATAATGGCAAGCATTTCCTTAATCTGCTTGCAATAATCTTTGTTATGAATTTATAGATCAAATTGCAACAAGAAATAGGCCTATACTTAGACAATCTGGAAGGATTAGGGATCTTAAGGACCAAAGAAATTATTGTGGAGTTCATCTCCCTAAGAATTTTACCAGAAAGGAAAATTTCCTATATAGCTTTGATGACCAGATCACCTATTATGGGCCAAGCAGCTTGGTAGAATTCTAAGGTATAGCCATTAGGACCTTGAGTTTTATTCCTTGAGCTGGAAAAAACCACCTCTTTAATCTCCTTTTCGGAAATGGGTTGAGTAAGCAACTCCTGTACATTGATAGGCAACTGAAAGTTAAGCAAACTTCTAAGCCAAGTGGCAACCACATCACTACATCAAGTGTCTGAAGTCCCAAGTAACTGTTGGTAAAATTGAGTAGCTTCAGATTCCATCTCAGGAATTGTGGTGAGCTTTTTGTTCTCTGAATTTACAAGCTCCCTTATTGCACATTTATTACTCCTTACTTGACAATTTTATAAAAGTAACTCATGTTTCTGTCTACCTCACAAAGCTATCTAATTCTGGATTTTTGCTTGTAAGACATCTCCTCAGCTAGCTGCAACTGAGCCACTTTTTGTTCTTGATCTGTCTCAATCTGGACCAATTCTGAATGAGGGCTTGTTAATAGGTCTGCTTGAATGCCATGTAATTTAGCTTTCTCATGCAGCACTTTGCTAGGAAGGTCACCACAGTGCTCCTTATTCAGCCTTCTTAAACCAGACTTTAAAGCCTTCAGCTTTTTGCAAAGTTGGAACACATGGTATCCTGGAACTTGATTAACGTTATTATTTTTAAATAACAAAACCAAAGTTTAAAACAACTGCCTATAAACATATTGAAAATATACAACCTTTTCACCCTCTTTTTTTGGAATGGTTTATGAAATTAAAACTAAAATATAGATAGAAAATCAACTTACCAAAATATTCTATCTCCTGTAATCTCAGACATAGGTTTAGTTTGGATTTTATGCCTTAACTATTAATCTTTTTTTGTTTATTTATGTTGTTTTCAGAGTAGGCCAATATAAAACAGATAGTCCCTGTATTTCATAATAATAGGCCCTGGCATTATTTACTTACTTCTTTGACCCTTTTTCTATTCTTATTTTTTAAACTCTGCCTGTTATAATAAAATTTAGAAAATAAACCTCAAAAAGTTAGCTGGAATCTAGATTAATTTCATGGACCATAGGCAGTGCTGTAAGAAAATATAAACCTAGTATGCAATGCAAGCATATTTAAAGCTTCAAAAAAACCATATGTTCAACTTCGGTTGCAGTAGTTTTGAAGACTAACTGTTTGCAAGCAAGATTCAGTTAAATCTCTGTACATTTCCATCTTTCTTTTCTTTCTCCCTTGCTTAGAGTTGGAATATCGATCTACATTAGTATGGTATCTCTTGCTTTATGAGTAATCCATGTTTTGATGTATTTCTCTTGGCTTTGTTAATTTCTTACAGTTCTTCCTTCTTATTCTTCATGTTACCTGTCCTGCTGGTTGGTATTCCTCTTAGACAAATCTGTTATTCAAATGGCTTTCTAATTTGAATGTTAGTGCAATTGTTTGTCTCTTTGCTAACATGAAACATTGTTATTTAGTTAGAGGGGAAATAACTTCAACTTGGAACCATTTTTATGCATTAATCCTGCTTATACATTGCTTTTTATTGCAAAACTTTCTTCTCTATTGTATGATACTAAGATATGCTTAAGCATCGGCATTTGTGGGGTGCTTAGGGAGGTAGCTACACTTTCACGTTTGCAGCATCAGCATGTTGTACGCTACTATCAAGTGAGGTTTTTGTTTTTTTTTTTCAATCTTCTTATTTCTCTCTCATATATTGGTAATGATTAAGGCCTTTCCTTCATGGTTAACCATATCCATATGCTGACAATAAATTGGTTTTAGGCATGGTTTGAAAAAGGAGTTGCCAGTTCATGTGGTGACAATATATTGGGTTCAGGAACTGCAACAAGCTCTATATTCAGCTATACAGGTGCTGGTTCAACTGACATCCCTGGACAGGAGAATAAGCTTGAATCAACTTATCTATATATTCAGATGGAATATTGCCCTAGGTAAAATGCTTCATTTGCTTTGTTTTGTTCTTTTTGTTTATGTTACATGTTGTACCCTGAATTTTCTCTCATCTTTGTCCATTCTATTGCTTTGGCTTCTATGATTTGATGTGCGTGTATGCTTCTATGTGTATGCATGAATACTTGCATTTTAAGAATGTGTACATGTTTGTATCTCCTTGACACGTTCATGCATAAACACACAATTATTCAAAAGAGGGTTGAAGAATTCTCTATGATTCTTGATTGCTTCACTAGCTATTCTAATCATGTTTCATTCTACTTCCGCTCCCCACCTCTGACTGTCCTTTAATGGTCCAACCAAAGGACTCTTCGCCAGGACTTTGAATCATATAATCATTTTGACAAGGAGTTAGCATGGCATTTGTTTCGCCAAATTGTAGAAGGTTTGGCGCACATACATGGGCAAGGAATCATCCATCGGGACTTGACTCCTAATAACATCTTTTTTGATGCACGGAATGATATTAAAATTGGAGATTTTGGCCTTGGTGAGTTATATGTTTTCTCTTTTGCAATCTTTTCTCCTTTGTTCTTTATGCTTGAAAACAGTGTATTATGTATTTATATAGGATTCTGCAAAAGTTGTGAACTGGCAATTTTTGCTACTTGTGATAGTGTACAAAAACATTAGATAGGAGCTTGGCTAGTGTAACTAATACAATTGTATAGAGATATAATAAAAATTCCTAAATTGTCATGCTTCATACATACTACCAGAAACTACCACGTCCATGCAGCTTTCGCCCATCACACATGAGGGTGGTTTGTAGATACCTGCGGGACTGGTTGGGCCAAAGGTCTGGACCATGCTATCAAAAAAGGAGAAAGACAAAAACCAAATCCATCAAAAGCATACAGAAAAATTATAATTTTTTTTTCTTGCTACAGCAAAATTCTTGAGGTTTGAGCAGGTGGACCAGGAAGTTGGTGTTTCTACAGATGCAGCTGGAGTTTCACTTGATGGTACTGGTCAAGTTGGGACCTACTTTTACACTGCACCAGAAATTGAACATGGATGGCCAAAGATTGATGAAAAGGTAATGCTTTCTTGATGTCTTTTATTTTTCTTAGCTTTAATTACTATGACTTCAAATTGACAGAGGCACATAAATAGCTTGTTAGGCAAGATGTCAAATTCTACTTATGAAGCCTAATTCTGATCTACTGGGGAAGACGTGATTTATGTCCGAATGCTAGTGTTGATGGTGGTTTAGTTGAGATTTAGTATCAATGGTTGTCTTGGTGATTTTTCTATTTTTCTGGAAAGGTTTAAGAGTCATATTAGGGTTTTAAAATCTACGTTAGTGCTGCTATGTATTAGGGATATGTGGGTTTTGATTAATTGAATAAAAATGTGCAATGCCTATTCATAGTGGGCTACCAAGTTGGACTGTGCTGTGAGATATATACATTAGTCTATAAGCTTCACCAATTACACCAAGGAAATTCTCGTAACCATATGCAGCAAGCTAGTTCTTGAGTTCCAGCTAACATTTACCATCTAATCTAGCCTCATTTAAAAATTTGTCTATTAACCTCAAATGGCCAATGTCTCATTGGAGATTGCACCAAAATTTAGATCCTTGGTCTTATTAGGTGATATGTGATATAACTGTTGTCAGTTATTTTGTTTTCCAGGCTGACATGTACAGCTTAGGAGTTGTGTTCTTCGAGCTTTGGCATCCTTTTGAGACATCAATGGAGAGACATGTTGTTTTATCTAATTTGAAGCAGAAAGGAGAACTTCCTGCTGCATGGGTTGCTGAATTTCCGGAACAGGCATCCTTGTTAAGGCACTTAATGTCTCAAAGTCCATCTGACCGTCCATCTGCTACTGAACTAATACAAACTGCATTCCCTCCACAAATGGAATATGAGCTATTAGACAGTAAGAATTACATACAGTCTATCTCCTATGTATTGATTCCCTTTCTCTGTTTGATAGTATTTTCATAAATGTTATATATGTCATTGGAATTATAGATTTTACTTTTTAAAAAAATGAATAGGGTTAGGATCTTTAACTTAGACATCCCAATTTATCCGACATTTGGTTTTATAAGATTTTGGTGCTTTTGTTTCAGTTGAACTCTTCTGTCTCTTATGGTTTATGTGGTTAAGAAACAAGTAGAAAATAAGGATTACAGCCGGATGCCTTGCTTCAAAAAATTGCTTTGATGGTTTTAGTCTGAGAGAGAAATCTGCAGTCCAGTGGCTAGTAAGTAATTATAGGCTCCAAGTAGAAGTTGGACTACTCCCTTCTTAGGTTGTGGAAGTGTATTAGGAATTTAAATGATATTTTATGAGGGGGTTTGACATAAATAAGACATCTTTATTCTATTTTGTTGAAAAATGTCGACATAATTATACCACAAATCTGTCTAAAGTAAACCAATATATTGTGTCATTTTCAACTCTGTTTTGTGTGTAGTTGTCCAATATTTCTGCCCTTAGGTTGAACCATGTCTTTCAATCTCTAATTAATTTCATTTCTAAATGAATTCATTTAAGAATTCAAGTCATGGAATTAACATGAATGCTTTTTAATCTCTAATTAGGAATTTAAATGACATGTTATTAGGGGGTTTAACATAAACTTGGCATGTTTATTTAACCCAAGCGTGCAGGGGCAGCCCCTTGGTGTGAGGCAGTCCTGCATCGCCTGCCTTGGTCCTGGGTAGCTGTGGCAGAGCAGCCTTGCCCAGCATACTTATGGTGCCCAAGGACAGAAACGCGAATTGCCTGTTCATTTTTTTTTCTTTTGTTTTAACAAAATGATACAACATTATTGGGTTTATAATTTTTTTAAAAAAATTATAAAACCAAATAAAAGTAGAAACCCTGATTGTCTGTCATTTGGTTCTCTTCTTCAATCGTTTTATCTCCTCCTATGCCACCTCCAAGTCTTCTTCATTGAGGAGAGTTTTTCCATCACTTGATTGGATAGCTAAATCATCCATGGATCTCTTGTAACACTCTCCTCTATTACCATCGCATTTTAAACCTTTTGTTCTCTTCAAGTAGATTTTTCATCTTGAGACTTGACTTTTTTAATTTTTTTAAAAAATTTTAATTCTACAGATATATTTTTAGTTTTATTTTTCCTAAAATTTTCTGTATTTTTCCTAAAATTTTCTGTATTTTTATATTTTTTGAAAAAGAAAAAATAGCACAGAAAGTGCCAGGGTGCCCAAGGCAGTGCATGGGTGCTGGGCGGGGACCTGCCGCCCCACAGTACCGAGTGCCTTCCACAACCTTTATTTAATTGTTTTCAAAAAAGTTGACATGAATAAAATAAACCACAGTTGTATGTAAATGACTCATTTATAGTTTTATTTTCAACTAGGTATTGTGTCAAGAACCAAACTTTTATCGTTTCATTTTCAACTGGGTTTTGTGTCTAGAACCAAACTTTTATTGTTTCATTTTCAACCCAGTTTTGTGTCTAGTTGTCAAATATCACTGCCCTTAGGTGGAACTCATCTTTCAAGATCTATTTCATTTCATCTCCTACATGAATTCATTTAAAGAATTAATATGAACACTTTTTTATCAAACCAAACACAAGGGATGTAGAATTACTAATGAATGTACACTTTTTAGTGGAATTTATTTAACCAAGAAACAAAGACACACTCTTAACTAATTATAAGTGTCATTCATCTATAGTTTGAAAACATGTGATGCATGCAAATTATTAGAACATTTATTGTTTCATTTTACATATATAAAATAAACTTACCTTGTCAACATTTAATAAGATCTGCATGTTTAATTGGATACATTTTTGTGGGAAAATAATAAAAATTTTCTGTAGATGGAGTAATCTATATCTCAAAGTTGTACATCTAATTTTTGTTGAATAAAAGAAGATAAATTTAAGGATGGTTGGAATTATACTAAAACTTATAGTTGTAATGATGAATAAGTATTTCAATTTGGGAGTAGTAATGTGTCATAACATATTATTAATTGAGGCCTGCCCAACCCTGTATCTAAAGTTTATAATGCATTTCAAAATGTTTTCACATATTCTATTCCATTAAAATTCTATTTGTGTCAAAAGATAGTGAGCTCTATGACTCATTTCTAGATTTTTTCAATAATGTGATTGTTACTAAGTGCTTTTCCCCCTTATGTTCAGATATTTTACGTACAATGCAGACATCTGAGGACAGAAGTGTGTATGATAAAGTTGTTAATGCTATCTTCAATGAACAAATATTAGAAATGAAAAGCCATCATCAGCATGCAATTGTTCGACATGACACCACCTCCATCCAGTTCACAGATGTAGACACTGAAATCCGTGATTATGTTGCTGAGGTTACAAGGGAAGTGTTCAAACAACATTGTGCGAAGCGTCTGGAAATAGTGCCCATGCGTTTATTGGAAGATTGTCAACAATTTAACAGGTATCTCTCGAAGTCAAAATCCTTACATTGTCTTTTTAACTGCTGCTGGCTAGTGACTTTTAGCTTCGGGTGGAAAGGAATACTGTCAAACTTTTAACTTATGGAGGTGATATGCTGGAACTTTGTTATGAGCTGCGTCTGCCTTTTGCTAATTGGGTTATAGCAAACCAGGTATTGAATTTAAACTCTCAAAAGTTCTAAACGTATTCTTTGTTTTTTCTTCAGTTCCTTCTGTTTTTTTCAGTTGGATTAATACAGAACAATATATTTAAAGCAGAACATCTGTAGATTCTTATATGATTTTTTTTCTCTTTTGTTTGCTTTGGACTTTGACATATTTGTGTGAAGTTTCTCTTCTAATTTAGTTAACTAAATGTCCATCCTGTTATATCCTGTCATGATAATTCTCATTGGAAAATGCCAAAACAGGCATCAAACATAGGGGTGCAAATGAACTGAGCCTAGCCAAACTTTTTTAATTTTGATCTCAGCTTGAGTTAACTTATGAAGGCTTGAATACAAGCTCAAGCTGAGCTCGATAAAATCTTTGTCCGAGAATTAGAATGGAAGAATTAGAATTCTAGGGTTCAGAAATATTTAAAGGTTCCATGGCCTTCCTCCTAAACTGAACAGGAAACTAAATGAATGAAACTAATAATAAGTCGCTGATCAAAAAGAGAAAAAAAAAAAAAAAAAAGGAGGAAAAAAGGTCTTAAATCCGCAAGGACAAGAAATATCATACTAACCGTAAATAAAATGATTAGGTTATATTTCCAATGAGGACAGTATAATTAAAAGCAGTACATGAAATGAAAATGAAAAATTATAATATAAAATTCATATATTTAAAAATGTGAGATTTCCTTGAATGTCCTTGGTAAACAGAGTTATATGGAGAATATCATACACATTTTTCCAACATTTTGTTGATGTATTGGAACATTCTGTTGAAGAACTGTTTGCAAAGTCAAATAATTGATTCTCCTCTTGTTGATTTTCTTCTTTATATATATATATATTTATATATATATTGGGAGGATTCAAACCCAGCACCCTAACCTACATACATTTTACCAATGAGCTACAAGCTCAATGGCTATTGATTATCTTGAAAACAGGATTATTCTATTGTTTTATTGCATCTTTTTATATTAATTGCTTTCTTTTTGGTATATTTTTATTAATTGTTAATTGTTTAGAAAATTCTTTGTTTGAAATAACTCATTAATTTCCTATTGTTGTCATTGTAAAAGAAATCTTCCTTCAAGCGTTACGAAATATCATCAGTTTATAGAAGAGCAATTGGTCATTCACCACCAAATCCTTATCTTCAGGTAAATTTTGCAAATTTTATATTCATTCATCTTCTCTCCTATGGTTTTCCTAGAGAATCACAGGATACCACTTTAATGAAATTGGCAGCACTTGTCATCTTGACAAGATTGATGTTATTTGTGGTCTTCCCATTTTTGAAACTGTGAACAGGGTGACTTTGACATCCTTGGAGGTGCATCAGCTCTGACAGAGGCAGAGGCTCTCAAGGTAGTTGTTATTCTCTTTTTCTCTCTCTATTCTACAGATAGACAGGTCAATTTTTAGTCCTGATGCTTTGCTACCAACAATGGTTTAGGTGAGTTAGTACCCACTAACTTATTTGCAATAGCTAAGTACTAACTTCTTTTTTGAAATTTAAAAATCACCCCCTTGGTGATTTGTTAAACAGAAAAAGAAATTTTACATTAAATGGACAATTCAAAACAGAAGAACAACCGCTTTATAGGATTGTAATTTATTTTGTAAGAATCTAATTGTAAATAGGATCTGAACGGTTTAATTGGATAGTAATTGCCTCAAGAATCAATTCAGATTTGAATTACTGTTATACATGTAGATAAGGGTTCAGAGTGAATATTTTCTTCTGAACATTGAGTGAATGTTTTCTTCTGAAGATTGTTATCTGTTAGTTTGCTAGCATTTCCAACATTTCATGTTTATTTATCCCTCTAGAATAGTAGATGAGTTCTCTTCAGAGTGTTATACAATTTTTCTAATCCTTCTAAAGCTGGGCATTGACTAGTGTCACTTACTCAACTGCAAGATAGCACTCTATGGTTCCATCCATAAATTATAGATTTAGACTTTTGAAATCGTAGAACTGCAGGAATTGCTGATGAATTCTTGCCATAAGGTATTTCCTTTTGATGAGTCGTCCTTGCAATTTATAGTTAGATACTTATTAGAAAACTACTGTCATTGAGGAAATTTTCCAAGTTTGTTGACAAATAAAATGTGTTTATTCACTTATGCATCATTCTTACTATAAATCAAAATCAAAATTCAATTAACCTGGAAAGGAAATAAGGCTGAAAATAATACAATGGGATATTTTATCACAACATTTATTTGTTATTTCTTTTCTATTCCTCCATGATAAATCATACTGTCTATTAAGGTTGCAGTATTTGTGGGATTCTATTGATTGAAGGATCTGAAGTGGAGTTTTTTTTGAAAACTCAGTACTTGTAAAATCTGTTGTATGGTTGGTAGGTCTGAATCTATTATATGGATAATGAGAGTTAGTCTGAAGCATTTAGAAAAGAACCTTTATCACTACCTGTTAGTGCAAATCTCACTCTAAAAGTCTCATGGGAAAGCCATAGTGGAAGCAATGACTTTTTTGGCATCCTTTATTAAACTGAATACTGAGTCACTCTCCCATGTGGAGGTACAGTCACCCAGCATTGCACTGATGCACTTTTTTCCCCCACCTGTAACCACTGTTAGGCAATCACCTTATATCATCAAAACAAATAACTTTGTTTAGAATAGAACGGTTTCAATAAAAAAAATTGAAAAAATGAATGAAATTTTGAAATTTGGAGGATCTTTCTGTCTCACAGTTTTCATAATGCACTGTCACTCTGAACTATTGCTAGAGTAATGGAAATGGTAAGGCAAAGAATTGACCAACTTTTAGTGGCCAGAGTCGGGTGAGAGAATTCCTATTCTTTGTTTACATGTATTGTTATTGCTTAAATGAAGGAAGTTCACAAATAGTGCCTCTTGTGTTATTCTAATATTATAATCTTATAATTTTGGTTATAAATACCCACTTCTAATGCTAGTATATTTACAATAGTCTACTGAAACTGGTGGTTTCTTGGTTATGACTGGCTACAGCTAAAGTTCCATTAAACATTCTGGAAAGTTATTCTCCAAAAAGCTTTTAGAAATTGAAAACCCTCTTGTAAATTAAACCCTCCCATGATTGACAATGTCATAACCCCTTATAACCAGGTAATAGGTTCCGAAATAAAAACAATACTTTTCAATAGTGATGTGTATGTGCCTAGGTAGAACACTTGTTTTTCCAAGAATATTTTGAAATTAATGCAAGTTAAGCTATAAAACTGATTTGGTGTGAAATCTTGTGTAGCTTTACAACTTAGGATGTCATATTTAGTATTTCGAAATTATATTTAAACTTGAAAACGCAATGATTGTACAGGAAGGATGTATTTTAAAGAAGTTAGCTTAAACTGGATAAGCATGGCTTAGTTTAACATCCAAAGTCCTGTTCTACTACCCAAGTAGCTTAAGTAATATCAGATGCATGAAAGACATAGCTAGTTCATAGGATTTAAGACAGTTACATAAGTTTGATAGATGCTAAATATACAATAGGACCTTAGATTAAGTTTACATATCATACTAACGTTTTCAAAAGATGTGTCACAGAAGAGTTCATCTCAAAATAGATTAGTAGTGCTCCAAAAGTGGAGCCAAGATGGTTTTGGAAGAACTAATCCTGCTGCAAAATACTGGATTTCTGTCTATACCATTTCTACCTCTTGAATCGAAACAAATTAGAATTTGCAATTCTCTACAAAGTATGAGAGTATAGCTCCCATGATCCTGTACTACTCAATCTTAGCTAACCTGAAAAGTTGTGAAACTATTTTATGAGTTTAAGCTCATGTAAGTGAATGTTATAGAGTTATCTATAGGGTTAATTTAACAAATCATCTAGTAACTTTCATATTCTTTTCAGTTTCATTTATTATTTTTGAATTCTTTCAATCCTATCTATTATCTTTCACATTTATTTCAATTTCATCTAGTCCATTATCTTTAATGAATCTTCTTATTCTATAATAAAATATTTAGTCCTCTAACTATATTTCTTTTGATCTTTTAGTCCTTAAATTTATATTCACTGTAAAAATAGTTTTTATTATTATCTTGCTAAATGTGTTCTTTAGAAAATTGTTTTATAGAGCAAACTATATACAACTTGTCTTATAAAATTATTTAAATGCCTTCAATTTTATTTTTATATTATTTTCTTAGAAACATTTAAATAATTTTACGAGATAGACTGCATATAATCTGCCCTATATAATAGACTTACTCTTAAAACTTCTCATTATAAACTTACTAAGTTTTTCTATTTGAATTGAGCTAGTTGCTCAAGTTTATTACAAGTTCTAACTAATCTATCTTTATAATCATATTTTATTAGGATTATAGTCACTTTTTCAAAACTTAAAGGACTACTCTTTCCGTTAAATCTAACAAAATTTTGCACAGTGGACTATTTTAAAATATTCTTCAAAGTTTATAGACCATTTGGAAAGAAAATAAACTTTCTAGACTAAAATGAAATTAAGCTGATAGTTAATAGACTAAAAATTGAATTAAGCCATTATCTATAACTAGAAAGGTTAATCAATTAGCAGATAGTCACCTAAGATATTAGATATAGCAATAAGTTTAGGAACAGTTTTAGTTAAGAACTAAGCAATTATGACTAGCAATCTAATCTAGGAGCTTCATTTTGCTAGCAATGAGTCAATAACGTAGGTTTCCATGAATAATCAACACAATAGTACAATCAATACTGTTATAGACTACAATAAGTATCTATGGAATGGATTCAAATAAACAATATGTAGTGCACACACATCAAGCCAGGACCAGACAAAGCTAAGCCTACTGCACAGCGGTCAATTTCAATATTACAGTTTGCTCTATATGAGCATAATGAGTACCTAGCTACTTGCTTAGGTCTATACCTCCATAGAATTCAATATAGGGCATATATTTTCAATGCAACATTATTGCATGTCTCAACTTAATCCAAATAACAATCACTTATGTCATTTGCATCCAATTCAATCAAAATGCAGAAGTGTATTCTTGTCATTTACTCAGCAGTTCAATAATTCACTCTGCATTTCATTCATGCATTGCATGTTTTTTTTCTCACAAGCAAGTCATCGCATGCAATAGTCAGTTTTTTTTTTTTTTTATCAGCACATGCAATTAGTCAGGTAAGTGTTCTAATTGTTTCTAGCTACTTTTACAGTCATTTACCATCTTTCTTTAAGTTATACAACCAGAAAATAACAAACATTTACCTTCACACTCTGTACACAAAATTAGAAACTGTAGAACTCCTTCAGCTCCCCTAAGTTTTGGTATTCTGCTATCCACCAGAACTCCCTTCTCTCTCATCTGATCAGAGAAGGAAAAATAAGTGCTTTTAGATCTAAGCTTCGTTATATGAAATCCATGCAAATGCCTCCTGACATGTGGATTTCCACTAAGTTAATTATTAAAGCTAATGCATGCAAATTACCATGTCTGGACTTAATGCAAATAAGTCCTAACAACTTTAACAATTAAGGACAAAACCTTCCATCTTGAAGCAATTGAGGACAGGGTCATTGCTATGATAATTCATCCAAACTTACCAGTTGTTTGATGCAGTAAAATTATTGAGGTTCTGGTTTCATATGGTTCAAGTATTTTGTTGTCTCATATGCTTCAGTTATGTGGAGGTGCATGATGTGTCGCCAAGTTCAACTACACAATTTACTAAATAGTGGTCATTAAAATAAAAGAAATTTTTATATACTGGACTCAACTTACATGTGACCACGTGTCAAAGTGGAAGGTAGTGTGCCTATCATGAGTGGTGCTTGTTTCCTGCTTCTTATGCCATATGACTGTGATTTGTGTTTGAGGTTCTTGGGCTTTAATTTCAATCCTAGGATGGTGATGTATTTTCTGAGCCAGTGGCTCCTTGTTTGATAGAGCTGTTGATGTTTGATTTTTAATGTATAGGTTGGAGTACCCCTTGTTCTCCCATTCAATAAAACTTTGATTCATCTAAAGAAAAATATATACTGGACTCTTCTTTTCCAGGTGACTATGGACGTTTTAGCTCGATTTTTTCAGTTAGATCTGTGTGGTATTCATCTAAATCACGCGAATCTACTGGAGGCAATTTGGTCTTGGGCAGGAATTAAGGCAGAGCATAGACAGAAAGTTGCAGAGGTGTGTGTATTAAATAAAGCATAATAGTGGTTCATCCACTGTGCAAAGTTTTAATCTGATCATTACTACCCTTTTTCAAATGAAGCTTCTCTCAATGATGGCTTCTCTACGCCCTCAATCATCCAAACGGAAGTCAAAGTGGGTAGTAATAAGGCGCCAACTCTTGCAGGTGTGAGGAAACTATGAAATTCTTATGCATTTATTTAATATGGTTGCAATCACTTCTGGTTCTATCACTTTGGGTAAATTGAGTTTTAAGTGGCATAAGTGCATTTATATCAAGTAGGCATTCTGTTCCTTCCCCCTTTTTATCATCTAGAGCCTTATTTATGCTTAGGCTTATATATCAAGACAGCAAGGATCTCACTTAATTTAAAGTTGTTTTGCAGTCATCATTAGTGTTCTGCTCCTAGATTTCCCACAATTTCTGCACTTCTTCCTTTTGCGTATTTTGGTATACCACATGAAAATGCCCAGCAGTTCATGATTTAAATTCTTTTCCAATGTGTTTCGAGTCATAATAATCTAAAAGATATCTTCCTGTCTACATAACATGCAAAATTGAATTTGTCATTCCGGATTTGAAGGTTTGGGGCATTCTCAGGATCATTTCTGTTTTTTCACTATAGTAGGCTTCTTTTATCCCTCGTATCATTCATTTTCTTTGGTAGGGACAGTCTCCTTATAATAATTATGGCATAAGTTCTAGAAAAATGCTAATGTGTCTATTGTGAAGTTTAGCAGGGAAAAGCGTGGGAGCTATTTTATATGTTTTCAAGGGAATGGTTTTTTATGTCCTAAGGTGTTATAATGATTAAATGTATAATTTTGTTAGGTTATTTAAGACCAAAAGGAAGGAAAAAAGAAAAATAGGATAATGTATTTGTTATTCTTTGATGTGATATAGTCGATCTTGTAGAAGAACCCGTATCCTACATGAATTATTTCAAATTTAAGAATGATTATTTTCATTCTTGAAGATTTCCTCATGAATCTGTTTATGGTCTGTAAATTTAACACTAAAATAACTCTGAATTCTAGCAATGCTATTAATAAATTCTTCTTGGAAAGTTGGCATGAGCTATATATATCTTCTTTTTCAGCTTAGGGGCACAATATTACTATTACATGAAAATCATTTTCATTCTAGATGTGAGAACAGAAAGATGGAAGGATAGAAACCTCTTGGCTAAATTGCTGAGCTGCAAATAGGGGTTGCACTTTCGTTGGTAGCCATTGCATGAAGTAATTTTTTGATCTTTCCTAATGGATTTATCTGTTTCCTTCTAAACTTCTCTAGGAGCTTAATTTAGCAGAAGCTACTGTAAATAGGTTACAGACTGTTGGTTTAAGATTTTGTGGAGCTGCAGACCAGGCCCTTCCTCGATTAAGGGGAGCTTTGCCAACTGGTATGATCTTGTTCATATGGTTGAAAGGGGACATGTGCTTATGTTACCTATAGTGAGAGAAGGGACATGTACTCAAAGTCAGCTCTACTTCTATTGCAGATAAACCTACTCGCAAGGCACTTGATGAGCTGACCGAACTCTTTAGTTACCTGAGAGTTTGGAGGATTGAGAAACATGTTTATGTAGATGCCCTCATGCCACCAACTGAGAATTACCACAGAGATCTGTTTTTCCAGGTACAACAGCTCCAGGGGCTTGGTTCATTTTGCACTGTCTGGGTACATATGTACCAAACAGAATGCCACCTGCATGAATACTCTCATGAACATTCTTTGTTTTATATTTTACATATTTTTATGATTTCTGGTCATTGTACCAGTATAATGTTAGAAATTGTTATCATATATGTGTTCTCTGAGGCTTTAATTCAACAATCAAGCTTATTAAGCTGGTTTGTACCTCTGCTTTAAACAAAACTACCTTGAAGTCCAAGGTTACGTTAATATCAAACACCCCCACTCTCCTCCCCACCAAGGCATTATGGTAGGGCTGATTCTTGTCATGTGCAGGTTTAGTCAAGCCTTTCAGTTTGCTTTGTACTGTGAGTCTATTTTGATTGATCAATATATATTAGATGTGATATGGTACTCAAAATATTGGAAGGGGATTATCTCATATCTTGTGGATGTGGCATAAAAAGGGTCATAACTCACAGGTCACACCCAGTTCTGGTCATGCCAGAGCAAGTTCCTAGGAGGGTGCTTTGAGTAGGCAAAGTTGAACCTTGTCAACAAGTAGTAAATTTTGGATAATTGGCTTCGGATAAAGTTCTAGGGACATTTATCTTGAAAAGATGAGAACTCCATCTTGATGGTCATGAGATATAGTGACTTATCTTGCTTGGAGGTTTCAAGTATCCTTAAGTTTGAGTGTTAATTATGCAATTGGTTGGGCCTCATATTGTCTGTGTTTTGCTTTATATGCTTGCTTATCACATGGCTTTGTTTATAATGTGTTTTTAAGGTAAAGTTCTTGCTTGTTGATTACAAAGTTTAATCAGAGTCACATTTCTTTACTGTCATGCTTTGGAGTGATCATTAATGAACTATAAAAATAAGGTAAATTAGATAAATAATGTAATAGCATGTAAAAAGTGGTAATCCATGCTTTTTATCAATTTTCTTCTAATAAGTTAGAAGACAAAAGGAATAGCTATGACCTAATGAGAGATATAATTAGGCATTCCTTCCTCCTTTCAACTTACTAGAAGAAACATGATGCCGTTATGGGATAGGTATTCCTTATTTGCTATAATATCTATGTAATTTACCTTATTATTATAGTTTGATCAAGGAATGGTCATTCCATCACAAAAACATGTTCTACAAGTAAGTTTGTTTCTTTTGTATCTTTGAAATCTTGTGAGCTGACGTCCAATCTTGTAAATACCTAGTAAGTGCTTGTTTGGTTGGTGGTAATGGCTTATTAGTCAAACTATAAAAACAAGCTAAAATTGAGGAACCTCCATATGAAGTTGGGAATAGCTAAGTCTTAATGTCTAATTTTCCATTTACATTAGCAAATAATCGAGGAATGCCTATTCCTTAAAAACTGGAAGAAATGCATATTCCTCATTCATCCCTTAGTTCAGTAGAAAATTATCAACATAGGTCTAGCTATTTCTAGCTTCCTAAAGAAGTTTCTAAGATTTAGCTTATTTTTATAGTTTGAGCAAGAAATAACCATTACCACCAACCAAACATGACCTAAGAGAATGGGGCTTAAGGTCAGGTGTTAAAAGATCAAGCCTCTGCAATCGCTAAGCACTATCTGCACCAATAAAAAAATAAAAAACTAGTAATAGACCTGTTTTCTTCATCCAAGATTCTGCTTGCATGAGCATTTTTGTCATATATGGTTGAGTGGGATATGATGTCCTTAAATTCTCTGCTAAATTAACCTAGAAACTGCTTTTCAATTGGGTTGACATTTTAGGTTGTTTTTCATTATGGAAAAAATTGACATATTGAGATGATATTTTGCATAAGTTATGCCGAAAAAGGTTAACACCTTATATTGTTTTTGTTTAATAATTATCATTGATAATTACATTAGATTGCTATGAAATTTAAAAGCTTCTTGTTTCAAAAATTTTCACACTTGGAAAGGGTTGTTTAATTGACATAATATGCTGGGCCAAAAAAAAAAAAAAGACTTCTGAAGTCAAGGTTGTGAAGAACTAATTCTTGTCTTTAAACTTCCAACCATTGCATCTTCAACCTTATTTCAGAAGAAATACAAGTATTTTGTAAAAGAATTTAACTAAGAGACCAACTTTACTAATTTATCTCTATGATAAATACATTTCTTTTTAGTTGCAACTGAGATTACATTCATGCTATTGGAACTGGATGAGTTGCTTTTCATACATTGTTTTATCATATAAATTACAGAAAAAGTATACCTATTTAATATTTTATCATATAAAAGAAGATGTTCATATCTGCTTTTGCTATCTAATTAAGGACATTTTCAATTCTTTGTCCAGATATACCTTGAGAAGGATAACCATCCTGGTTCACTTACTGATGGTGGATTGCTTGCTGTTGGCGGGCGGTATGATTATTTGCTTCATCAAATGTGGGATCATCAATCTGTACGTTATGCACCTTTGATTTCACTATCTCCTTTTCAAATTTCCTGTACAGTCTAAATTCATTAGAATTTAACTCTTTGTTGACCTATAACCAAACCATATCTGTCAAATATATGCATCTAGGACAGCATCATGAACCTGCCCAAAAATAGGACAGATTGTGAACAGAATTATTTCTTCACTACAAAATCTGCCTCCGTTATGTGCTCAGTCTATAATTGAATATAAATTAAATTAAATACTTCTATAAGTTTAACAATTTTTCCAGTTAAAAAGAAAAATTAAAATTTTTTTCTTCTGGAGCACCAGATGCAAGCATGATGTTAGTAATTTTGTACCACAGCTAACTGTGAGATTTGGCTTCCTCACTTCTAGCCAACTAGTCTAGATTGAATCTTTTAACATGGTACTGAAAGCCAGTTCTTTGTTTCCCATTTGTTGTCCTTCGTGGAGATTATTGAGTGTCACAGGAGGATAGCCCAAATAAAATGATCTACATTCATTAGAACTACCTCCTTGTTTTTTATTTTGTAGTTTGCAATTTGATTGTGATGTGGCTGTGTGATCAAACTCTTTGTTACAATAAATTCAATCCATGTTGCCAAATGATTACAGCAGCTTTAATGGTAAAGTTGGTACTATGAAAGTCAAGGCAGAGTCTTAGTAGTCTGCTATGTGGTTAAAAGCTCTAAAGAGGATAAAACAGCGAGATTGAAAGTAAATCAAAATATCAAACCCATATGCATCCAAAAAAAATAATAGTGATAGTGCCCTCCAAGGAATTTTTTTATTCAGTTTTCTTAGTAAAGTAAGAACTAAGAGACCCTTTTTTTAAATTTTATCCCAAATGACTAGACTACAAAATGGGAGTGTCACTTCCCTTCCCTTAACCCTCAAGGTGCAAAATGTGATTTATTTTGACTACCGCATCCATTTAACTTGATCCTAAATGCAACATAGAAGTATGCAATTGTTCTTCATTGTTATTAGTATTTTGTATGGTCTGTAGAGTGCAGAATGATAATATTGTTGGTAGGGTGGAAGTGAGAAGATAGTAAGATAGCAGCAACGTTTGTCTTCCTCATTAATAATTGCGTTTCTGTTCTCCCAAAATTAATGGGCAAATAAGTTTTTCAGTTTTCATTTCTATCCTCTTGCCACTTTTTTTCACGCAGTTTACTTTCTTTTATGGTGATTTAAAGAATCTGTTTTTGGATATGTGAATCCTTTTGGAGTAAGAGAGAGCTGAATCACTGGAATATTCCATCAACCCTATTACACTTTGTAAATTAAATGGATCTGATTTTTTAGATAATACCTAGATCTTTCTTGTATACCTTTGAATTTTAAGCTTTGACATATATGCAGAGTTTTAGTTAGTGATTGTTTTTTTTTGTCTTTGTATCTTATCCAGAAAACAAACCCACCAGCTGCTGTTGGCACTAGTCTTGCACTAGAGACAATAATTCAGCATTCTTCTATAGATTTTAATCCTATAAGGTTCAATTTTCTTGCAATTACTTATCAGGCAACTCTTTCTCTTTTGTTTCTTTGGCCATTCCGGTCTTATCCCTTATGTTGGCTGCTGCAGAAATCAAGCTGCTACCAACATCCTTGTCTGTTCTAGAGGAGGGGGTGGTTTATTGGTAGAGCGTATGGAACTAGTTGCTGAGCTTTGGGAGGAGAATATCAAGGTTGGGGATTCAGTTCAACCTTTTCCTTTACTTTTGATTATTTCTCTTTCCTTTTTCCTCACTTGTTGCTTTCTCTATCAGGCTGAGTTTGTCCCAGTACCAGATCCAAGCCTAACAGAGCAGTATGAATATGCAAGCGAGCATGATATAAAATGTCTTGTTATCATAACAGAAATGGGTGTATCTCAAACTGGTATTGTTAAGGTAACACTAACCTGGAAGCTTGCTCAATTTTTTGTGCTCTTTTCTGTAGGGTAATACACTGGAAGGACAGTAATTTATTATATATTCTTAAATACTAATTTGTTTTATTTTGGCTTTTGTTTTTTGTTTTTTGTTTTTTCTTTGTTCTTTTTTGCTTAGGGTATGGTTGGCCTACTGTGAATTCAATAATAATATGGGTTTTTATTATCAGAAGGAATGATTTTATTGGAAAGCATATGATAACCTTCTAACTTGGACTTATATGTTGTCCAATGAGATGGTTGGCAAAATTTTGTGTGGAATGTGTAGAATTCTTTATTCCTCTGAATATAGCATTTTTTTATTAAATGATAATGTTAACAGGTTCGGTATCTCGATCCTAAGAGGGAGAAAGATGTTGAGAGGGAAAATCTTGTCAGATTCCTGCTGGATGCAATTGCAACACAGTTTAGAAACCCTTCTATTTGGAATTAGGTCTGTCTTTCTGCAAAGTACAGGTTCTTATTAGCCATATCACAATCACATCTTTATTATTTTCTTTGAGGATATTTTTGTTTGCTATTTAATCTCTGTAATTAACTATATATCTTCTAATAATGGGTATACGACAGATGGGATTCCATTCACCTCCTCTCTTCTTGCAAAGAAGTGAAACATAAACAAGATTAAGACAGGCATCATTTTAAAAGGATGAAACTTCAGGTGATAAGCTTTGCAGATAATGTATACATATATCTTGTATAGTTTTTCTATTTGCCTTGTTTTATATTTGTTTTAGAGCTTCTTTGGTATCGCTGTTCTTACAAATCACAAATGCGAATGATAGGGTTCTTCCAGAAGCATTGTAAAGCTAAAATTTTGTTTTGCAAATCTGACATAAATAAAGGTACAGTGCAATACAGAAAGTCATTCTTGTCTTTTGTGGTTTCAAAGAAGGAATAATAATCAGTTGCGATTTGACCTTTGCCGAAGTTAATTAGGTAGTAGATAATTTTGCTTGCGAACTCCCAAATATTTGGGTTGTTCGTTATAAATATAATTTTATTAATAAAGTTTTTATTGAATTTACTAAAAAAAAGTATTGTATAGAAAATTATAAAGTAGTGAATAAAAAATTTATAAGTTTCATATAAAATTTTGTTAAGAGGTTTTTTGGCATTAAATTTTTTTGGTGTGGTTGATTAGCAGATGATAAAGGGAAGGTTGGAAGAAAGTAATCAGGTGAATCTTATATTAGAAAAAAGTTTTACTTAAATTGTGTCAATGAACATATTTAATAAAAATTGCTAACTTTACCCCTTATTTTGTTATAAAGTTCCAAAAATTATGTCGGCCATATGTTTTGATAGCCATACAGTATGGCACCTGCCAGGCGAGAGCGAGCCATGCTTTTTTACTACAATCAACTTTAATGTCTAAAAACTAAAATGCATGATTGCCACATTTTCTAAAAAGGGGAACCCTAATTTAGTTAATTTTTATTTTAAATAAATTATTAAAAGTTATTTTTCAAACTTTGCTTTTATTGAGTAAATAAAAACACATATTTCAATATTATGTTAGATTTAAATTAAAGAGTAAATATGAAATTTCAATCACTATTAGTTGTGTTTACCGTGAATTTTTGTATTCGACAATTGTGTCAACAAATATGACTGGAATGAAATAGAGGAAGTATTTATCTTTAGAATACTTTTATCAACCAAAAGGCTCTTTTATATACATATATATATATATGAAATGTAACAATTAAATTTTAACACTTATTCAAAAAAATATATGATAACTAAAATTAAAATTTGACCAAAACAGAATCGCAAGGCTGATAATCAAAGAGTTGACAAACCACACTAGCCATTCCCAATTATTACATGCAGGTTCTCTTCCTTCCCTCCTTGGTACATAATGAACTTGACGGAATCTTTAAGTAATTTATCTGGTGCTCCGCAACAGAAAAGCGTAAAGCCCATCTTGTGTCTTGGGAAAGAATTGCCCAACCCAAGAGACTGGGCGGGTTTTTTTTTTTTTTTTGATAAATGACTGGCCGGGTTTGGTCTAGGGTCTTGGAAGGACTAAGGAAGCTAATCGAGGTCAGTTTCCCATAGCTTGTTGGAGCTTTTACTTTTAAAATATTGTTTATGAATGATAAATTTAAATTTTTATTTAAAAAAATTAATAGTTGTTTTTAGAGATATGAAAAATTGAATAAAATGTGAGTAAAAAAAAATTTATGAAAAATTTAAATTTAAAATTTTTAATCAAGATCTTTTTAATAAAAAAAATTTTAAATAAAAATTTTAAAAAAAAAATTTAAATTTATGAGGTATGAATAGTATTAAAAAACTAAAACACGTGGCAAGCTGCACCAAACCGCACCCGAAGTTGCCATAGCTAAAGCTCACTGGCGTTTACTTTTTGAGAAAGACAAAATCTGGTATTCTGCTCTCTGTGTCAACTGCCAAATACAAGGTTTCTGACCCTAAGAGCTTTATTAATAAACCCTGTCCTGTTCTTAAAGGCCTTACTAAAGGCAAGCATACTCTAGAGAAGGGGATCAGATGGGTGCCTAGAACAGGGAATGATATTATCTTTTAGTCTGATCATTGGGCGGGAAATCAATCTGTGGATTCCATGGTGTATGGTCCCCCTTACACTGGAAGCTGCTAACATGAAACTCAGGGATGTCATCCTTCTTAACTGTGATCTGGATTTTGAGGCTATTTCTTTCTCCCTCCCTCTTGCTTTTTGTTGATAGAATTAGAGCCATTCCCTCCTAAACTCATGGGTCTGCGAATGATGGTTTTATTTAGGGTTATTCCTCTAATGGAGTCTTTCAGTCCAAATTGGCTTACTGTTTATCTAAGAACCTCCCTATTTCTGAAGATACTTCTTGGTTGCAGATTTGGAAAATTAACTTCCAAAAATCCAGCATTTTATCTGGCTTTTGGGGCATCGCAGACTCCTTACTTTTGACACTCCTTACAGTTGGGGCATTGTTGATGTCAACACTTGTCCAAGATGTCATGAGGGTGCTAAAACCTTGAACCATGTCTTTGGGGAATGTAATTTTGCCTGGCAACTATGGTCTCTGTTCATAATCCAAACCCTCGTTGCCCCTTCGCATGATTTAGATTTAGAATTATAATCAAATAACAAATAAAACTAAATATTATTTTTATTAATTTATTTTCTAGTTATTTTAAAGAAATGCAAATTTTATTTATTAATTAAATTAGAAGACAAAAAGGTTAGAGTATTTTACATTATATATTAGAAAATATGTTTTCAAATTTATATTGCACCAAAATATGTTTTTTCACCTTAAGGTAATTTGTATTTTTACAGCTCAAAATTTTACCTCTTATGTATTCCAATTTGAAAAATTGAGCTATGATATATTGTAAATTTGAGTTTTAAAACTCTTTCAATTAATCGAAATTTGATACTATTTTGATTTTATAACATTAAATCTTGTCATTTTTATTTTATCTTTGTTCTTTTTCCAACTTTTCAGTTGTTCATATTAAATCTTGGAATATATTTAGTTGCAATAGTCATTATTATTTGATTGATATTTAAAATCTTATTTATTTATTATTTATTTTTGAGATACACAATAAATTCAACTTTTTGTTATCTATTTTACTTAGATTACATTAGGTTGTTTAAATAATTGGTTTTGAAGTCTCATTTTAGATTCACCATATTAATTCTATTTTAGTCTCGTAGAGAATTTAAATAGTTGATACTTGTCTTTTCATTTTCTTTTTGTTGGATTATTTTTTTATTTTTCAATATTTAAATGGTTTTGCCTCTTCATCTACCAAAAAAAATTAATTTATATAGCAATGCAAAGGGAAGCATTATTTAGACTACCTTGTGTCTTTAAATACCGAAATAAATTAATTAGCATGTTGCACAAAAAAAAAAAAGTTAGATGAACCAATTTCGTCATCCATATTATGGTTTTTAGTTTTTATAATGTTTTTTTTTTTTTAATGCAAACTCCTAATTAATACATAGGGTAGCATTTTTCTATATATTTTAAATGGTCATCTTCATCTACTAAGAGAAATTAATTCATATGATAATGCAAAGGGAAACATTATTTAGATAACCTTGCCTTTTCATATATAAACAGAAATTAATTAATATGATGCAAAAAAAAAAAAAAAAAAAAAATTGATGAACCAATCTCTTCACCTATATTATGGTTTTTGGTTTTTATTATATTTTTTGTAAATACTTATCCTAATTAATACATAGGGTAGCATTTTGAAAATAATAATAAGAAATAAATGTTATATTATATTATATTTTAAATAAATGCATACCTTATTTAATGCATAATGTAGCATAGTATATATATACATATAAATTATTCATTGTTGGATATATAGACTTTGTTTATACATAGAGTAGCATTTTGAT